CAATTTTCATGTTTTCCTACGACAGCAACCGATCCCTCCCCAGCAGCGCCCATATTTAAGTATCGTAAGGTTTCGCATGTACATGTACCTGCACCAGTTGGCCGTACTGCCTTACACGCTGCTAAGTTACGATTCAATACTTTGAATACGAGCGTTTCACAATCTGATTTCAAGACACGGCCCCGTCATGTACGCAGTGGTAGCTAATAACCCCCCGTACACACACCCATGCACACACCCACACAAGTCCTCCACCAGGAAGCAATTCATTTCTTGCATTGAATGCCTCAAATTACAACCGTTAAAGTGTTCCTTGGGAACAGTGATCATATTGACGGTAGGATTTAGAAACGACTTTGGAGCACGAACACCCGTGATAACCGTACACGATATGGGGCCGATGGGTACCCCCCACATGTCCAATCCCGATACACACTCTAGACTATTGTTACCTAACACATCCCCCCCCCAGAAGTCTGTAAAGAATTCCTGACATTCTGATCAAACAATGACCGACACAAAGGTGTGTGTGGGGGGGGTTTCTTCGTCCCATATCTCGCCCATGAGGCACCACCAAGTATTAACTGCCATAGATTTCCCCTCCACACAAAACTGCACACAAGTGATTGTTCAATACAAATGCACACGTGTCTCGACTGCTAGTGAAATCGTTGGTACCTTCTCGTCTGGGAGCCCACATTATATGGATAACCAACATCTCTGGGCCTCCTTTGAATTTTGGCAACGTTGTTAGGTTTACACATATCCCTACCCAGGTGTTACTTGATGCCTTGTCTGGTACCGTCCATTGACAAAGTAACCTTCGCCTTTTCTGGTGCCAGCAAGGAGAATTCTAACACAAACTTCACATCAAAGGCAGACGGGGGAACTTGTAGGCATAACGATCGAGCTGGTAGGTGCTGTTACACACTGAAACAAATCGGTCACAAGTTTTACTTGCTATGACGAAAAGTACGTGTATTTTAAAGTGTAGCCGCAACGAATCTGCAACTTTGTTAAACTCTTCTACGTTTCTTTTTTGGTTAAATGCATGAAAATTGTCACAGCTAGGCTAATTGGATTGAAGCTGCGACTGGAAAGAAAGACCACACTGCAAATAGTCCAATGATTACAAGTACAACTGTTCTGTGTACACAATTAAAAAGACAGTTTAATTATCGCTTCCAATTAATCCCAACCAGTGTTGTATCAGAGACCTTGATAGCCTCGCTAGGCATACGAGACCAACTGATTTACTGATGTAAATTGTTGCCGGCAGTTACAGGGTCCATGGGTTTTATCGACACTCAGGGGCAAATGGCATCCCCGGATTTGGCCCCTCGATACTGGATAATACGGAAGCGTACATAGGACATGACTGGAAAAAAATGCGTCTGCTATTTCGCCCGGGCGGATTAGTATTTGGCCCGGCTGGATTACTTATTTCGCCCGTGGGAAATAGTGATCCACCTTGGGAGTTGCGTAGATTTGTGTGTCAGAATTCGGGATGATTTCCTTTTTCGGGGGGGGGGTTGACTCAGATAGACCGTTCCAACATTTTGTGCGTCATTGTGTCGAAGATGCAAAATGACTCATGTAGTGCCCTCTCACTCTTGCATTTAGAAAAGGCAGAAATATTCTCCTAATTGATCACCTTTTCCCCCGCAGATTAAGTGAATTGGAATGTCAGTAGAACTGATTGAAAATTACCCTTATGAATCTGCCATAAAACCTGAACAAAAGCGCATCAGTTCTCTACTCTGATCGGGCGCGGGCTCTGCCATTCCCCTGAAAAAGTTACAGATTTGTTTCTTTGATTATGAAAGAGCTTTTTCCTTGCATATAATTCCCTTTTTAGAGAAATGGAGAGAGTTTAACTTAGGCTAGTTTATCAGATTATATCACAGACACTTTTATCTGCAGAAGGGAGGCAGTTTCATAAAATAAAGCTAATTGTTTATAAAAATATAAAGCACCTTTAATTGATAGTACTTATATTCCTAGCGACTGGAATTGACAGCATCACTACATTTATATGAATCAAATTTATGGAATTTCAGAATCTATTTTTAATACTTACGGTAATTTTGATGCAGTAATTGGTAACATAAATGGCAGTTAATTGTAAATTGGTGCTTTTGTTTTATGTTCGTTTGTTATGAATTTGTTTAGTTTGAGGAGTCCCCAGGAAAATGAACATGTTTGGGGCTATCCCAGATTACATCAACCCACTTTGTTTAATGTTAAAGTTTTCCTTCCACGCGTATGTGTCGATTTCTTCTGAGTAAAATCAGCATTATTTTCGGCGGCCATGGTGGAACGAATCTATTACATGTACTTGGATATCAAATCTTTGCCACATCGGAACAAGCTACGTAAATATTGTTTAGGAGTCAGCCTTTTGTTTCTCCTAAAAAGGAGGACTTACTCGTGACAGATTCAAGTCGAGACTGACTTGGCATCGTGAGGCATGGGTAAATGTGCGTCACAGGGGGGGAAGAGGGCACCTGCCTACCCCTAAAAATAATATAAAAATAAAAAATAAAAAATACGAAAGACATGACAAAAAATAGATTAAAGGGAATAAAAACACTATACCTAGCTTTAAAAATCAAAGCTATGTTTTCCCGTTTTCTCCTTTGGTCTTGTCCCTTTCCCCTTTTTAGCCGTTTTCCTCAATAGTTTTTCAGTGGGAGGAGCAACTCCCCCCCCCGACGTTAATTATCGGTTCATAGTTTAGTGCTATGTACCCTCCTGGAAACCCCTTTTCCCCTCTTAGATAACGTGCAGTGGCGTATTCAGTGTCCAAACGGGGAAGGGACACGGGAACAGATTCACCCCTCCCCAACATATGATGTTTAACGCCATTCTTTTTCCTTGTAATTGTTAAAAGGAATCCATGCGAACATTACTTCACTCTTAATTAACCCTAAAAAGTCAGAAGTATGGGAGACCATTTACAGCCATGGGGGCGAATTCCACCCTCCCCTCCCAGAACTCAGCCATTCCATACGCAAGTTTGGAACGGTTGCATGCATATAAAGACAATCATACTCGATACAAATCAATAGATCAGTACATTCTCAGTTAAAATGAAGACGTTGCTATGGCCATTTGAAGCTTGGGGCCACGCGCTTACCAGCGTGTCCTAGAACGTGTGCGCGTGGAAAAGGTTTAGGTTTTGGGCTACTTCGGGAAAATGTACACTACGCGAGAACAGCAGGTCCAATTCTCAAAAAATAGGTGAATAATGACTGTAATAAGTTACTCAAAAAAGTCTGCAAGACCCGAAGCATCGCTGTGGAACTCTCTCCCACACCATATCAGAACTGTCAAAAATGAAAACGAATTTAAGTCACTACTTAAAACTCACCTGTTTCATTAATTGCTTTATTTCATAATATTATTGTGAAGCGCATCGAGATGTGCTATGTGATGCGCTATATAAGAAATGTGTTATTATTATTATTATTAAAGCGGGAACAATGCAGTGTGAGGCTAAAGAGAAAAATGTGGAGTTGGTGGAAACCGCCCGGCCTTGTTTTTTGGGGCGGGGGACAGACCAAAGAAAAATGGACTGCCATTTGTAGAAAAAAATCATTTCGCCCTTTCACCCAACCCCAATCTGTGGCTCCCCTCCAATGTGGAAAAATGATGCAAAAATTCACTGTGGGAAATTCATCGTCCATGGATGAGTGTAAAGCATGGTTCTCAGATTGGTTGTCAAGAGCTAGAGGGCGCTATTAAGGAATACAGTGGAAGCAATGTAAACATAAGAACAGCTACTGGAGCTGTGTGAAATGGCATGGGCAGCGCAGGAAACGAGATCTGCAACTCCAAATCGAGTTTACGCTGGTCCCGGTATGAATGCAGTACGCTGACTGCGCATTACGTTATAAAAGCACTACGTAAGAAGTCCATAAAATGAAGCATACTGTTCACAATAAAATGTATTGAGATGAAAGATAAAGTACAGGGATATTCAAGTGTGCAAATCTAAATCCTATGCTTGCAAATAATGCCACCCCTAGCAAGTGTCACAATATGGCTGTGGTCTCTGAGAGCCGTTCCAGTGGCTTTTTTTGTGCGGAGCCAAATGTAGAGAAAAAACCTAGACGGGCGTGTTGCTGTAACAGGCTTCACATGTCTGAGTAATTGGTGCTGTATTTCCCACTGTCGTTCAAACACATTAACTGATGAAACGGCCTTCATTTTGCCAGATGCTAACACCGACGTCCAGACCATTTTTGCAACGAGCTCCATCTCTTGAGTGATGAAAATGCTTACCAATGCCCTGGGCATTCACCCAAACGCGAAAAGAATTTCTACAAACGAGCCCTTTGGGAGATGACACGGAAAGTGTTAAGGCAAAAAATAAAAATAAAAAATAGATTGGTTCGGATAAAGACAACAGAGTTAGTATAACATACTCTGAAGGCTTGTTACAAACTTTATACTTCACACTTTCCCATCCAGTCTTTTGACAAGAATGCAACTTCATACGAAGCAAACTATGGGACAGGGAGACACCCCCGCCTTTGTGTTGGTCATTGGTATACAGGTATCTCAGGAATTCTTTTCTGACATCTAGGGGAGATGTGTTAAGTGATAATAGGCTGGAGTGTGTATAGGGATTGGTCTTGATGGGGGTGGATACTCCTCTGTCCCATTTCATGCCTGGTATATGCAGCTTCAAGTGTGTGCCATTTCCTTTGTTCGCCAATGGCAATACTTTGGCACAGGTGAAGTGCCGGCTATATAAAAACAAGGCCTATGATATAAACAAGGCCTTGGTGCAATCATAGTGTGGTATTTTGTCTTCCCACTTAGTACACTGATCACGTGTCTTTTGGCAATATATTTCAAATCATTGGGTTTCTTGATCAATTTTGGATGAACGAATAAAGTGAAGTGAGCACATTTTCAGCAATGATTTTCAGCAATGAGGAAGAAAAAGAAATATATATGTACACACATGAGACACGCATAGGCAATATTAGTCACCGTGTAAGACAAATTTCACAGTCTTTATTCACATAATAAGGAAAGCCACGGCACTACATATTTAAATTGACATTGACAAGGCTTGTTTGTATGAAATGTTGTCTGTCAGTTTAAAACCTCGGACGCGCTATGCCCTTTTTGTCTGCGCCATCGTTTCATTATGTCCCTTGTCGTTTCCATGAAAAACACATGAAATATTCAACAATTGATGTTCTTGCAAAATCCTACAGACAAATTAATTAGTCAAAACTAATGATATGTTATGCATTGTGTGGTAATTTTCATATTCCTCGTGCACAAATTTGCCGGAAAAAATGGTGTACAGTTGAGGCCGAATAATTTGACCGAGGGAGGGGCATGTTCACACTAGATACCTTTTTTAAGGAACTATAAAGTTATTGCTTATTTCAATTAAACACACACGCATAAAGAGTCTAAAATAATTATCTCCACTCTATCTAATTCTAAAACTTGATATAAAGAAGCACATGTAAGTTAAAACGAAAACCACACAAACAAACAATAATTCTGGTGACACTGAGGGGTCTCTTATTACGTCACAGTTGTATGGCCGCAGTGGTGGCACCAGACCTTGGTGGCTGTGGATGCAAGTTTTGGGCAAGGCAAAATCGCTTGCGTGCAAAGGATCCTTCATTTTTCTTGAGTTGTGATGCGGAGTGTGATGGCTGTTGCCCAAAAAGCTATTAATAAAAGTTTAGCTGGCCAAGACATAAGCTGATGCAGGGGCAGGCAAGTTATTATACAATATACAAGTTGGTGTATGCTTTTATTAGCCATGTTTTAACAATTGAGTTTAAAAGTTGCATATGAAAACTGATTCAAATATACTTGGTTTTGAAATAAAAATTCCAAAATTATTTATTACTAAAATGACATATCAATGTACTGTACTGAATGAGGGAGTTAAAGATACAAGGAAATTGATTATTATAGAATTCTCCTCTGCGGATGGAATGAACCTATTAACACTATTTGAATGAACTTATTTGTCAAATGAATGTTCAAATACTGAAATCACTATTGCCAATTCAACGAGTGAATGCTAAGGGCCCCCTTTTTTATATTCTGTAGTTCTCATATCTTCCTCAAATTGAAAGAGGGCTGCTGCCATGTACATGACTGAAAACGCCCCCCCCCACTTGCCGCATCAGACTAAGAGCATCATATGCAACGATGATAAACCACCCACTCTTGAGGACGGTCCCAGCTGCCGAAGCCGACGAACCAGACGGGTATAGCCGGCGGGCTGGGGTCGCTCCACTCGAAGTATGCTGCCTTCCCGTGCTTACCAAGGGCGAAGACACCGTGGTCGTATCGCAGCCAGAATCGTTGATACTCATGCTCGCTTAACAAGCCACTTACCGGTACTTGATAGAGCAAAGGGCAGCGCTGACATCTCCGAATGGAGGTCTTGGTGTTGGAACTCTGCCCAATTACTGTCAATGCAGGTTTGGAAAAATACAAGTGTTAATACACCTTCTTCTTCAAAGGAGATTACTAATATGAACTTGAATTCTTTTGGGTGCCTTAGCTATTCATCATTTCGCAGTTCATGCTTTTCTACACCACTGGAATGCTCATGATATACTTCGGAGCAAAAACAGACCCCTACACTCTCTTTTGTGGTTTGTTGTGCTGCTAAATCATCCTCCTCGACGTTCCATTCACACTGCTACAGTGAAAATTATAACGGTCCAAGTGCGAATAAGGCTTGAATAACAAATGCCAACATTTGAAAGGGATTGTGATCGTATGTGATACGCGCCCCACTCACTCGAGGCTGGACGTTGATAACGTGTTTAAGTGGACGTTTTTCACGCTTCATGGCAGGTCCGTCACAAGCTATGGGCATAAGGGGTATAATACCCGTTAGGGGAGGGGACATAACACAAAAACAATAAATGATATTGATGTTTATGGTTTTTGTTGATGGGAGCCAGCTGTTCGCCAGAGGGCAGCCCCCCCCACCTCCTCTACTCAGTGATGGGTCTGCTTATGGTTACATATTTGGCAGGAAATTGCTTGATTTGTTCCATTTGGAAACTTCTCCTGCCATCTGTCATCACTTTGTTGCGTCTCCAACGTATAAGTAATCATTGTACAACACATACTGCCAGCGATAACTGAGCTTTGTTTTCTCAGCTCGACGCACAGAACAAAAAAAAATGGCTTTGCCCGTTTTGGATATTACTTACTTTCAATTTTTTGTCTAGAACTCACCCAAATGGTAATTGATGTTTTCTTTCATGCCGTCAGTGGAGAAAGCAATCTTTGCGTTTCCTGATGCCCGCACGGAGAAATCTAACACAAACTCATCATCAAAGGCAGGAAACGGGAATTCGTAACCAAAACGACCAAGCTGGTAGGTGCTGTTGCACACTGAAAAGGGAATAAGTGAGTAGTTTGGCGTGAAATGGTATATGTCTTTATTTCAATCTAGAATTTAGAAAACCTGTTTACTGGAGAAACCTGGTATTTGAGGAGCACTGGGTTTTTTGTCGACTGGTTGAATTTCAAGACATTATTTGCACAAAGTCCGTCGAAAAGTATTGGCAAGACTGAAGAGCAGACGAGAAGAGACAACAGCATGAGAATTTATGTCAATAGCAATGGCGATTGCAGGAGAATCAGTGATAAGAGCATACTCGTGTTTCAAGTGCAGATCGCTCCATGCGTGAACAAAAGTTTAACAACGGGGCTCATCTGTCATTGTCAGAGTGAAGAGAGCCGCACATGCAAAGGGACACAGTGCTTCAACGTCCAACGCACAGTGTGCATCTCCTACAATAATTGCGTATGCACTCCTCACACCCAAGATTACACAGTTACAATACAGTAGGCACAACGCATCAACACTGTGGGAAAGATCGCCGTTATCCATCACTGTTTGTCGCCCGGCGACATCGCCAGTGCTATGCTTATAGCATATCGCGTGATCCAATCGCGACAAACTATTTTTATGCGACAAATATATTTTTACCCGCAATGGGGCCAGTCCGCACGGGCAGGACCCGAATTCCGGGTCAGTCTGACCCTGGTAATTTTAGAGGGTGAGCAATTGATTGGCGTGAGTGGTATGTATTATCGAGACAGGGTTTATCAGTAAGTCTAAGTCGACCTCTTTAAATCAAGCCATAAAGCGCTTGATGACACTTGGCTTGAGTCTTCTGGATTTTTCTTACTTCGCTTCAACGCTTTGAAGTTGGTTTCAGCTATTTCTGCATCGCTGGAAGAAGGCAGTGTGCCTCGAGCCGCTTATTGACTTAAAAGGGTAGCTGCAATCAATTTTTTCTCTAATACAAATTTTCTAAACGCACCTTTGTGTCTCATTTAACCTTATTTCAACTTTTGTTTTTTTACTGCTTTTGGCTCTTTATGCTAATGATATTCCCATATTCATGGGAAAACTGTGATGTCATCTCAGGACGCAGGCCTCAGTGTAACATTGGTTTGTTACACACGTGAAAGTCTTGAATTTTTGGCAGATCTTGCCGGACTAAATTTTCTCTTCTTTTCTGATTCATTGCAAAAGTAAAGCATCAATCTCTTTCTCAGAAATGTTTTCAGCCAGTAAATTCTGGATTCACCATTTGACGGAAGAGAACTTTGTACTAAGCTATGCCTTCCCTGGATGACATCTCTGCAACAGGGCATATTATCATGCATTTAACAAAAAGGGAATGTAAAAGAATTTTAATTCACTGAAAAACAGTACCAAATAAATTAATTTTCATACACTAAAAATGGGCATTTTATTTAAAATGGAAGACTCGTCTTAGCAAGTAAAACTTAAACAGTGTTCAAAATTTTGTTGAGCTTAGTCAAAAGCTCATTTAGTTTCAAATCTCATTGGACATGTGTAGGTTTGGTGTTTACCTTGATGGTAACTTCCCCCAGCAATACAAAGAGCAATTTGAACAATTAAAGGAGCAATTTATGCAATGAATAGAGCAATACAAAGAGCAGTTTGAGCAACGAAAAGAGCAATTTGAACAATTAAAGGAGCAATTTGAACAATAAAAAGAGCAATCTGAGTAAAATAAACAATGAAATAAGCAAATCAGAAGCAGTGAAATATAATACATATACACGTGTATTTTTACTGTATATTGAACGATTTCATTTGTTTCGTGTCATTTGAAGGTCATCCTTCCCAGGATCAACATGAATGATATTTCTACAGTCAAGCCCTATGCTTGTCACCGGAGTGACAAATGCCTCGGACGGAAGTCTAATCTAGAGAGGCACATGGAAAATATCCATGTTGAGGAGGAATCAGACATGAATGAAGTTGACGACGACTCGGAACCTGTTGAGGAGGTTGATGACGAAACCTCGGATGAAGACAATTCAGAATTGGAAGACAATACCGCCTACCAAGATTGGCTGGCTGAAGCCAGAGAAACAAGTAGGGAGATGAGGGCTAAAAATATATATGTCCGCGAAGGCATGGATTAAGATCACACTAGTCAGAAGGCAAACAGAAAGACCCTCTGGGCAGTCAAGCAAGACTTTTTCGACAAATATAAGTTCCTGTCAAGTTACCTATATTTGAGGGATAATGAAGCTCACAAAGGACATTATGGATGATCTGGTTTGAAAACTTGACAAGAGTATGAGAGTCAACAAAGCCTTGCATGGAGTTTTGCCTAAAAACATGCTGAAAAATTTGCCGGACTGTTTCAGTTAAATGAGGCAGAGGATCATTCCTAAAAGATACGTCACTATAGACAAATGGTTCCAAAAGGAATGAGTACATGCAATGCCTCCGATTTCAAATTTGACAAGCTTTCGGTTATCACCCTTGTAGTAATTATTAAAATTACCAAGATAGTTATTGTAAAAAAATCAATGATGAACAATGGGAAATAAACATTACCAGTGTAGCCTACCAGAGACCAATATGTGAAGCCCACTGAATTTGTTTTGTGTTCTTACTTACCGGTATGATTATCGAATAATAAGTCTCCGGTCGGATACTGGCCGGGAACCTCTGCACAATATCCCACAGCATGACAAATAAATTTATCCATTTGCTACGTGTTCAAAATTCCCAACCAACGTCATGTCGCCCCCGATAATTCATAATTTGTATATAATAGTGTATGTTACATTCATGTTCCACAATAAAGAACAACATTAACGCTCCGCTCCGTTTGAATTTGTAAAACCGTATACATGTACAGGGTAGCCGACGCAAAAAACTCTAGTTCAAAGGATTAAGAAATTCAGCTAGGGACAGCAGGGTTTTCTTCCTGTGTAAATCAGATCTCGGTAGCCATAGTAAGCCGAACGCAGGTGGGCGCTCTCTCTCCTTTAGTGTCCAAGGATTAAAAGTCAAACCAACGCTCACTTCCAACGTACACACTATGATCATTAACACAATAGTCCGCCAACACAGCCCACCCAATAGGGATTATCCCTCTCATTACCCGGCGGCACGTACAGACTCTCTTTAGGGATTATCGCTTCTTACTCATTGGTTACCTTAGGATCTCCTGGTGGGCCAGTCAGTATTTTTCCTTGACATCACACCACCTATGACTCATCAACTGTTTTTCATCGTACTATTTCATAAGAAAGGTCAAATTGTACCGCAAATGTTTACCCCATGATGTGCCTTATTCATATTTTATCCCATACACAAGTTCATTTTGTACCACACTTTCTGACCCTATGCTATGCCTAACCCTTACAAAAGGCCATCTTGAGCCACACATTTTGCCCTACACCTCATTCCCATTCATATTTTATGATCATTATTATTGTGCGAATGCATATTGATGTGACCTCTTGCCACTTGTCGCAAAGGTCAAACTGTACCAGACTGATCCCACCAACACCCTTGTAAAGTTTCGATGGCCCACTCACAATTCTTCCCGCCAAGGCCATTTGTGCTCATGCATGCATAATTATGAATTTATTAGTGAAGAGGTCTATACCGTACATTTTGTGTGGACCCCACCGTGTTTGCTATAGCGGCGTTCTACGATACAATATAACAATGACGAATCTCTATCCTTGAAAACTTGAGAGAAATATAGTCGGTGGAAGATGAATATGCGGTAATTATTGGCCGTTGATAGAATCTCAACAACAGCGCTGCACCTCGTTTTCACAGGCAATCTGACGGAGAGCAGTCTTTTATTCCGCTGACGTCTTTGCACACTGCATACACGCGCATCATCAGGTGCGTCTACATACGTAATTGTAACTTTCTTGTAAAGATGGTTTCTTATGAGACTATTACACCACTCAAAGAAGTCAGTATTTTTGTAATAAGGGAACACACGGCCCAAGAGTTACCACGCCTCTAAATAGTAGTCACCACGCTGCGTAGAGATACATCGCACCGTTCAAGTGACCTTACTAGTACACCGTGCAAACATATTCAAAACAAAACAGAAAAGCTTTTTTTAAATTGGTTAAATGGAATAAGATGTCTGATGAAATGCGTGCCTAGTTTAACACCTGCAGCTACTTTATCTCGAGAAAATGCATTTGAATAGTAACATGTGAGGTCTAACTTTTATTCGGTTTCTGGAATGCATTCGAACCGCAAAAACATGGCAGGTCTATAATACTGCATTTTATTTTCAAAAATACATTTCAGTGTTTCAAAACATACTTTGTTCTAAAATGCATAAGATTTACAAATGCGTTTGATTTCCAAAAGCTACTTCTAGTGTCAAAAAGCGCCTCGCGAGTTGATTAAGAGACGTTGCACAGAATTATTCATCAAGCCTACTTGGTGTCGTGAAGTAATTATTTATGAATAAATTGCACACAGGAATGCTTTCCATACACTGAACTGACAATAATGATATCTGGCATTTTAGCAGCTGGTTAAATCTCCGTAGAGGCTAAAGAGTGAATCCATCATATAAACTACCAAAAGAGGAGCAATATAATTGACAACTTAGCTCCTTGTCAGAGTGGAAAAAATAACCAACAAATTGTTAAATCTAGATACTTGAGGAAATTTGGACATAATAAATTCGTAGTTCACATTCTCCACAAGTTTTGATTCGTTTTTCATTTAAAACCCTTTATAATTCGCAGGTCAGATGAACCTCAATACTTGCCACTGTAATCACTTTTTGATATTGTTTCTTACAAGTATAATTGTCGTTTTTGACACATTTACAGAAAACCGAGTGAATACATTTTTCAATGGTCAAAAGAAATAGATTTGTTGAATCTTTCTCTTTTTTCTCGTATCTCAACCCAGTTGCTCCATTTCGTTTTGTACAAAATAGGTCTCAATGAAAACGATCGCCACTATAGTACACAAAATGATGGTGCTGTTGTTTTCCAAAATTTTAATTGAAGGAATTATTGTCCTCTGTCCCTACCTTGTCTGGTGTAGTAAGTGCAACTGTTAGCCCTGGCCCCGCTTCCAGACAATATCGAGGCATCCTCCAGCACACACTGCCCTGTAGTTTGCCCGTAGCAGAACTGCCTGCAGCGTTCATCCATCAAACATTCCTTTGCACAACGCAACCTGGACTCCGCAACCGATGAGGCGAGGACCTGGTGCTGTACCGCCTCGTACACGCCGCGCTGTTCTGATACGAACCAACTCGATTCTTCCACAGGCACTGATCCATTTGCCAAAGAGACCTTGCTACACAAGGCGACAACCAGAAAGTTGTGCAATATTCTCATCTTACTTGTGCGCAAAATGACCCTCGAAAGCATGCTCAGTTAAGGATTTTGTTTCTGAGGACAGGTTTTTTTTCGTTTAAGCATGGGAGGAATGGTAAGCTGGAGTCTCTCGAAAACCTTGTGGTGAAACAAAATACGAACACATGCACGAACGTATGTTCTTATGTTGAGGGCGTAAGAGCCCATGCCTATTAAGGCGCCATCGCGAAATTGACTAAGCGTTCTCCTGCGGTTCGTGGCGTTCTCGCCAATCAGCCCGTTGTTGTCAAGGAGGGCGAGAATCCGCGGATTGGACGGCGGTGTGCGCTCTTAAGTTAATGAGCAGGGCAGGCCGTGCGTCTTTGTCATCGCAACAATGGATGCAACGACACATGACCAACCCCATGAAGGGTGCACCCTTGCTATAGCAGCAGCACGTCGGAGATTGCGCAGTGGTACTGTAGTGGGGCTTCGCAGGGGTTCTGACATACACACGACATAGGTCAGGTCAGAGGTCGCAGATTTGGGGTCAACAAGGGTCTCGACTGAAGCCAGCTCTGCTTTATTGGTGGAAATTGGCTCCGTGAAAACTGTAAATAACAATACAGTACCGGTAGTTCACAAAATATAATCCAGATTATGATAGTAGTGTACATCGATTGTAAGTGTGACGAAATCAGAGGGATAGACCACGTTAAAGATTACAAAGTATGGCCTACATGTAATCAACTGGTCATGAAAGGAATTAATCACAAAATTGTCATAGAATCACATCGAATACAAAGACAATATTTCAGTTGTAAGTCCAAATAAGTCCCTCATTTCTTATCAGCTTCAATTATGATTACGATGAATTAAAACGAAAGTCGGGAAGGGCTGACTCCCTGTATGCATGTCCTTCGTTCCATTGTTTGTGATTAGACAATATGCTTCATTGCGTATGTTTCAACAGAGGGCGATTCACAAATGGCGTGATTATCAGGCTACATCTACATGGCTCCCCAAAGTTTGCAACATAATTTTATATCAGTTTAAATGGAAAATTTGTCAACAGTCAGAATACAATCAACATGGCTTTTAAGCTATTGCTGGAAAGCATGTGGCACAAAATGGTACCATTACTTCAAAAGGGCTACTTCTAAATAACTACGCGTGAAACTAACACGAACTAGGCAAGTTACACTGGGTGGTTACAGGTATCACAAATCATGACAGGTATGATGAAAGGCTTCTTGGTGGAGATTCCCAGTTTCCTGCTCCTGCCTTTCTAGGAGGACAACAAGCTTCTGAACGGGTCGTTCGAGATATCTGGGTGGATGTGTCCGTTTGCCTTTGTCGTCTAAGGTATATAGTCAGCCTTGGCGATCTTTGTTCGACCGGAAGATTATTTTTCCACAGGAATTCTGGTCCCTTAAGCCACTTGGACATGGCAAGTTCTTAGGATGTAATGCCTCTGGAACCTTCACCAGCTGGATTTTCTTCGGAGGCAACATGTCTCCACTGGCCGGGATATGACTTATTCCTTATTTGTTTAGTTCGGTTCGCCACAAATACGTGAAATCTGCGAGTCTCCTTATTTATGTAGCCCAACACAATGTAGCTATCGGTTCAGTAGATGTGTCTTGTGTCGGTTTTCAACTCCTTTTCAAGTAAAGAACCCACTCTGACGGATACTACTGCCGCTTTGAGCTCAAGCCTCGGTATGGTAATGAGTTTCAGGGGGCCACTCGACTCTTTCCCATTGCAATTGAGCAGTGGACTCTATTTCGATCATCAATCTGCCTTAGGTAGGTACACTGTGCATAGCCAGCTGTGCTGGTGTCTGAGAAGTGATGCAGCTCTCTTGATACCACATTTCCAAAGGAGTCCGGCTGGAAGCATTGGGGTATCATGGGCTCCTCGAGACAAGATAGACTACTTCTCCAGTACTCCCAGCGTGATCGAATCTCTTCTTCCAGTGGTGAATCCCAATCAGCTTGGTTTATGCATAGATCTTGAAGGATTATTCTGCCAGCCAGGAGCACAGGTGCAACAAAGCGTAGCGGGTCATAGATGGATCCTACCGTAGACAAAATGCCTCGTCTCGTTAAAGGCTTGTCTTGTAGAATGATGCGGAAGTTGAAACAGTCGGACTCCACACACCACTGGACACCCAATGCTCTTTCAGTTTGAAGGGTGTCACTGGTGAGATCGGGGTCTTGGATACCCTTCGCACGTTCCTTTGGATCAACAGACTCCATCACATCTCTGGAATTTGAATCGAACTTGTGAAGGCTAGGAAAAGCCCGCCAGATCCTTGGATTGGTTAATCAGAATGACAGCTTCACTGGTAGTAGTAACCGACTTCAAGCCGTCGTCTACGTAGAAGTCCCGTCGGACAAATTAGGATGCCTCCTCGTCTCCACACTCACTCCTATAGTCTTCTGCAATGGACTTTAAACTGAAGTTTGCGTATCCATGGGAAGACACCGCCCCAAACAAGTGTACATGTACACCCATTCTGTATTCCAACGGCTCAGTTGTGAAGTCTCCTCCTTCCCACCACAGGAATCTCAAGAAGTCACGATGTTCACAGTTAACCTTGAATTGGTGGAACATTTGCTCCTCATCGAACATAAACGCAATGCGATATTGTCGAGACATGCACAAGACCACAAGGTTGTTGATCAAATCTGGGCCCTGTAGGAGTTTGCTGTTTATTGACTGTCCACGGAAGGTGGCACAGCAGTCGAAGACGACTCTTATTTTGTCTGGTTTCTTGGGATGGTATATGCCATGGTGGGGGATGTACCACACACCTTTTTCTCTACCGAGATGGGCCTTCGGTACTTGTTCAGCGTGACCTTTCTGGATGATGCCTCCAACGAATTAGATGTAATCGCTGTGAAAATTTGGATCCCTTTCAAATTGTCGCTTCAGGTGGTTTAATCGATATGGCGCATACACCTTGTTGTCAGGAATGTCCGGCTCTTCTCCTCTGAAAGGAAGCGGCATCTCGTAATATCCATCAGGTCGCTGGTGGATTCCGTCCTTCACTTTCATTAGAAATTGCTTGTCGACTTGAGAGAATGGCTTGTCACTGCTGGCTTGCTCTGAGAAATCAAGACTCATCATCTGTATTACGTTACCAGGTGTTATAACTTCCCTAACGCTCACTTCCAGCGTACACAAAGTAATCATTAACACAATAGTCCGCCGACACAGCTCACCCGCTATGTACAGTCCATTTTCTAGGAATTATCACTCACAACCCGGCGGCACTTATGGTCCTTTTGTTTAGGGGTTATCGCTTCCTACTTTCTAATTACTTTTGGACCTCTTGGTGGGCCAGTCAGTATGCCATCACGCACGATATGACTCATCCTGTTGCATCATGTTGTGCCATAATTTCATAAGCAAGGTCAAATTGTGCCAAAAAATTTTTACCCCGTGCTATGCCTTATTCCTATTTTAATCCCATACACCAGGATCAACATGTACCAGACTTTCTGACCTTATGCCTATCCCTTACCAAAAGTCAACCTGTACCGTAATTTTTCACCCTAAACCTCATTCCTATTCATATCAATATCATATTATAATACTTATGCATATTAATGCCACCATCTCCAAAGGTCAAATTGTGCTATATTTCAAGGTTAAAGTGTGCCAACAGGCCCCCCACTACTTCCGTGAAAAAGAAATTTTGCATGCTCGTACAAGCTCGAATGTTTGTTTATATTTTATTAAACTTTCTATGGTTCAGACAGGATCAGCAATGTACTTGCTCACACCACCAATAAATCACGCTTGTTTTTTTTGCCTGTGAGTCTTTTTTGAACACAAAGTCACTTTTGAATTGCTTTAGAGTCCTTTCCAATTAGAGGCTAAAGTACATGTTGGCCTAAGTTGTTTTTCGGCTGGGCTCGCTTTGCCGAATGTTTTCTCCTGTTCTAGTGCTGGCCCTTTAGGGATAATTTCTCCACCGGTTAGAAGCACCTGGTCGACTCCTTTAACTTAACATACATGTACATGTATAACACACATGTTTGTTGCGTTCGGCAGTCAACAGATACGCAACGTTTCGCGCAAGCGTTGACGCGCATTATGGAAAGGCGCCTGAAGTCGTTTTCCGCGTGGAAACTATACTGGTGGCAGTCAGTGCATGGATTGTAGGCTGTCACCCTGGGGATTTTTCAAGTTCTGTACATGGTATGTTATGGGCCTCGAGCTGGACAAAGAAAGGGGTGCCATTTTCTTTGCAAGGGTGCTCCTTTGGTCGAACTGAACTTCGCTGGTTCACGATTCAAAAACGACTAGGAAATGCATGCGTCACAGTTGCATCGCTACCAACAAAACGAACACTCCCAACCAACGTAGCTCTTTTCAACTGAAGAGGGGCGCTTCTTAGAGGCGGGTAGCTTAGTATTTGACTGACTACAAAGTCACCTGAACATACGTAAAGAATTATTAATGCGCCTTTCCATGTGCGCGTCAACACTTGCGACAAGGGTTACCGGCATGTATCCGTTAAAATCGCTCCCAGGCGATTTTGACGGCAGAATGCAACTCACACGTGTGCTATGTTAATGGACTCGACTTTGGGGTCCGTGAAAATGAAACGCGTGAACGCATCGTGTACGCCACACACCCAAAAAACGTACATATGGACAGGCGCCTTTACGTGTTTTTTGCTGGCTGTCACCACTCTTGTTGATGAACTTATACGAACAAGGGTTGGCAACCTGGTCTCCTGAAAAGTGTGAAAAGCCTTTATTTAAAAAAAAAATTTGAGAAAGTCTTTCATGTTTCGAAGTAAGAGGGTTCATTGTACTATAGAATGATTTTTGCGCAGACAAATTTCAATTTTTGAAGCCTAATTTCAAGAATCATAGTGCGCACTTTACCTCACTTTCTGTGGAGATACCATGTACTTTCCTATGGGGAAATTATTTTATTACCTGTCTTGAGAGACTAGTCTTTAAGCCTCTTAGAATTCTTCCCTGCCTAAATGTTGTACTTTAGTTTCCTTGAAAAATCCTCCAAAGCCACGATTATAGTTCTTATTCAAGTCACGTTTTACCGGTTTGCTGTTTTAAAAAATTGCTTCCCCGAATCTTTTTTGTTTTACCTCACCATTTCAACATGTATTTAAATCAAGGAACCTTAAGGAACCTCAATGGGTGGGCGTTAAAGCCCACAGATATTGGGCTGGAAAAGTATCGTTAAAACCATTTTAAAATGAGTTTTAATTTGAAAACGTTAGAAAAGAGCAATGACTGCAAATATCTTGACATATTGTGAAATTTTTTTACAGAGTGAGAGTGCCAGTGACAACGTGACAAGTCGTTTGAATACTGCCGTCAATATTCACGACCAACATTCGCGACACGTTCTTGACGTCAATACTTGAGACCAAATTCAAGACTCGTATCTCTGGTGGCAAATATTGCCGTGAATTTTTTTCCCAGCAATTAAGCTAGGCGGAAAAGCGGTGTTCACGCGCACACTCAGTGACCTTCACATTTCGGCTTGATCGCAAGTCATTCGGTTGGGTAGTTTTGGCACAATGCAGGGGGCACAACGTTAAAAAAGCAATTGCTGTGTCTATAACTGAGCAACTTCTCTCTCTACATGGCTTGCTGAAAAAAACTTCGCGGCGGTATTTGCGACCCGAGAGTGGGTCGTAAATTTGGTCTCAAACATTGACGTCAATATTGACAATTGGCAATGTCCCTCCACGGCCACCATACTTTTGATTTCTGGCCCCTCAGACAATGATTGCCATTCACTTTTGCCTTTTTTCATTTCTTTTTGACACCGGGCCCTAACGTCGACAAATATGTCATACAATCAATGTACTCAAGGTTGCGTGATCGTTCCACACTAGTCTTGCCTGTCTTGCCGGTGTGAAATAAATTATCACACCGGCAAAAAATGCACGACTGGTTTTTCTAGTCATCATCTTGAAAGGCTAGAACTGACGAGATTGACAGATTTTCAGTTGCACCCTGCTCGTCACCCTGAATTACCAGTCAAATTTAACTGGTTTCTGATCAAATCTGAATGATGCATTTTAAGATTTAAAAATTCCAACAGATTAATGAGAGAATGAGAAGAATAGATGCTACTGAATAAATGGAACCGAATTGTTTACAGGCTTGTGAATGATGCAACAGCGCCCAAATGTCGCAATCTGGCTGGCTATGATAGCTGCATTTTTCGAGGATTCTTTGTCACTTCCTGTAGACAGTCCTGTACCTGATCGTGTTCGTAGTTCCTTTATTGTTAAACGTACAAATGAGTAATTTTTGTGACATTCCCCCGGTTAGAAACATCGTAGAATTTCTACAAAGGAGTTAGTTAAGGAGCATACAGCGGTTGTGCTAGACAATCACACTAATGAGTACGCGGCAGAGCCCGGTGGGAAATCAAACCTACGGCTGTGAGTTTCCGTACATGGACGCGTCCAATGCTAGGGTGGACACCACCAGGACAATAAAAGAGATTCTAGGCCTGTTTCATGTCTTAGAAGGTAGCTCAAGCAAGCAAAACAGCTCAAGCCGGCGAGTGAGGCTCGCAAGACATCTAGCATTTACATGAGCATTTTCCCTTCATTAAAACAAATTCAAGCAGACATTTTTGGGCAATAAGATTAAAATAACCTTTAAAACTTTTTATCAGGAAACAGACTGGAAGAGCACGGACTGAGACCATCTAGCGTTCGAACCACGGACATCCTAAATCCACTACACAGGCCGGCTCCACCAAACTACTTTTTATCTGTTTTTTGTTTTTTCTTTTCTTTTCTTTTCTTTGTGTGCCCACGACTTCACAAAGCATGCTAATTCAAAGCTTGTATGCAATTTGAGCGCCTATTATAATGCATTACTGGTACATCTCGAACGTGGCATTCTGCTTTAAAAGTCTAGTTTATTAACGACGTTCTTTAGTCGAGTCGGATGCAAAACGCACTTTTCTATTTCAATTTGTAGTGCTATTTGGAAAAGGTTTTCTTTTTGCTTGGCTTTTTAGTTTTCAATCTAATGCAAGGTTTCATGTTATCAGGAAAACTGTGATGTCATTTTAGGAAGAAATGAATGTTGTATTGGACTGTGCAAAAAGAACTGCTAGGATTTCAGTACTATAATGCCAGTTCTCTTTGGTTCTTCAGTATTTTAGTCAATGGCAACAAGCCATCGGGTGACCTTTGTAAGCGCCATTTATTACATTGTCATAATATACACAGACTGAAACAAAAATGTGTGAAACAAAAATCAAGCTCATGTATTGAATGAAAGCGATCAGTAAGACCTATGAATCGAACAGAGCAAACATAATTATTTAGGACGAAAAGAATTTTAAAAGTGTTAATTAAGAACGAAAATAATCAATATATACTTAATATAAATACGTTGAGAAGATGCTTCATAAAGACGGAGCGACGGTTGCTACGATTAAGGACCGAGCTGCAATATTTACTGAACAAATTGCGTGTACATCATATCAGAGAGGTTTACATCGTTATTGCATGAGATGACTTTACCTGGCAAAAGATACAGCGCCACCTCCATAAAGCTCCATGGCTGGCCTTCGCCAATGTAAGAAGCAAAGGCCAAGCTTGACGGTGTACACATACGGACATTTTAGTTAGACATTCTCAACTTTCTCAACGGTTTGCCCTTTACTTAGCAAAGATCTTTCATTAGAAACTTGTTGGTGCTATGAATCAACCTAAAGGTGCAGGAGGTTGTGAGAGATTGTGCATTCAGACAGCCAACCGTACTATTATGGAGCATTACGCATCACATTAATTTTTTGTTCACGTAACAGTAAAACGTTAACAGATGAAGAGGCTCTCTGATGGCATTGATATTGTAACGTCATCAGAGCAGTACCAGGCAGTTTGGGACAAAGGAAACCAGATGGGGATCTATTGACCAAACAACAGGGAAATTAAAGCAGCAAGTCAGAAAGTGGGAGTAAATCTAACCAGAAATTGAGGACAGATCTCAGTATTGAGGGGAGAGAGCGCTTACTCGTCCTTCTGCGCAGGGAGAAGCTCTGACTCCTGGGTGCATGTATGTATTTGGAAATCATTTAAGTAGGCCTATTTGTAAAACACAATAACAGAAGATGCAGCAGTGCAAGAACAAAAACAACATTTAGCCCATTTTTGTTTTTCAATTTTTTAAGTATTTGCAGCTCATACGCATGCGTTTGCGTTGTTTTACTGTTTTACGCTCATTTACTGAGTGTGTTTGTTCAGGTTTGAGCGCATTGGCTTTGCAAATATATAAAAGCTGTAGCAACTTTCAGGTTTTCATAGGTTTGTGCACAACTATGGATGCAACAAGCAAGTGTCACTTTGTGCAACGAATCAGCGCTCTAATATAGTTACATGTAAACGAAGCTCTATACCCCGCAGCATTATTATTTCCTGCAGTCAGCCTTCGTTCAGTTTACAGCGGATGTTCCATCCACAGAGATCAAAATAGTAAAGCTTATGATCTCTGTGGTTCCACCGTGCCCGAAACAGAGCGCCCCCTACCAATGGGACATTCCAATGGTTGCATAATGAGCGCCCGTCACCAAAAAACCTGTAATATGCATGCACACTTTTTTTTTCCTAATTTTTTAATGTACGATGACTGTTTTTATAAGCCATTACGTATTTTAATGGCAAAGAATATTACAAAGTAAACGACAAGCGGAACAATATACCACCCTGAAGTCTAACAATATTATTGCCAGAAAAGATGTGGTGCGCCTCATAGTGTCCTACATTTCAGACTCCTCGTCTGTATGATCTGCTAGCTAAGGAAGGGTTTTCTTTCTGAGCGCGCGTGACCGACGGCGAGCAACGGCCAATCACAAGCCTGTCCGATATCCACCAGTGACTACTTCCTGATGAATTGATGATTAACAGTACAAATCGGTTGGTGACTGACAGTCTTTAAAAACCAGCCAAAAACTTCCTCATCTATACTGCTTGGGGAAATTAATAAATGGTATTCACAGCAACCAACTTCAGATCAGTTCTAACTTCCCCCTACGGAGAGTTGCGAGTCGAAGGTAAGTTTCCCGGTTTTACATAGATTCTTTGTAGTTGGCTGGAAAATCTTGTTTTCATGCACTTTTACTAGCCCATTAAAGCCAACGGTTTGTCATTGTCCTATTCATTTTGAGGGACTGTAACTCCGCATTGACTCGACACATGCAGTTTGAGCTTTGTGACAAACAAGCAACGACATTAGAACACGACAGCAACTATTATAACTATCTGAATTTCGTCAAGCTACGGCTATGGTCTCAATAATCAAATACTGTGATGGTTTCGCAGATATTCCGCCATGGCGGATCAGTACTTCCAAAATATTACACGCTTTACTCGTACGGGGAGTTTCACACGCACCCAAAACTGTAGGAGCCCTTAGAGGTAAGTCAGGGCATCGACACTTGTCGAAACGCAACATGCATGCACATACCGGAGAAAATTAGTAGGGCGTTTAAAGATTCACGTGTGAAGATACCAGGGTACAGTGTGGAATCTTTTTGAAGCACATTTAGCAATAAACCGTTAAAGAGAGTTATCAGAGAAATGAGACCGTTCGTTTCGCTATTTTCGGACTGCATTTCCACATTGAATTTCTTAGAAACGATAACATCCTATCTTCAGCAGACATTGACGAATTGCTTTCTGTGTCCTTAAAACATTTGTGCAATTGAAATGTCATGAACATCAATATGCAGATCGGAATTTTGAGGCATAGGCCTAACCAGAACATTTAAGGGTCTTTCCCAATCTGCTCCCCAAACTGAACATTATAACACGGCATGGCTGTAGATAGGCATATACCGCAGAGTGGATGGCGTGGTCCACCACCATTATTCGGAGTGATTATTCGTGCAATAATCTAGCATGAATATTGACGCATGTTTCCTGGATGTTGAGCGCCCCTGCGTTCAGACCGGAAAAATTGAAATTACAGAAATTGTTACAAACGCTCATGTATTTAGGGCAGCTGTAACACATACCGGAGACCTTTTTTCGTCTACCTCTTTTGTAGTAACAAGGCCAAAAGTTGTCGCAGTTAAAAATTTCTTTTAAATTCCCTTAAAAAATCCTCCGCACCCACAGAGTTGATGTACAAAAAGAGCAGTTTTTGATTGAAACAACGCGAATATACATTTTTGGATTCAAAAGAAACAAAAAGAAAAAAGGTGGTTTATATATTCACACGGATCTTGATCTAGATCAGTGATCCCGAAGCTGATTCCCTCTATCCATTAGGCGGGTTCCGGTGCCAGTGAACCAACGTCCGATTACTTAACGTGACCTGAATCCGCGGGAAACAAACAGGTCCAAAAGAACAATGTACCCGCTCTGCAAGATCTATACTCAGGAGCCTTGCGAACTCGAGTACACGAGTCCACTAGCACTTCAGCGTCACTGTTAATCCAAAACCTTATTAATAACATCTGAAATGTTGCGGCTGCCGTAGCTTTAGCCACTTCTATTCAAAATGGAAGATGACAAGTGCTCTCACCAAATGACAACTGGGTTTATTCTACGAACTTGACAAATGCATGTATGGGCTCACTCCGAGTAACATTGTTATAGCTTTGTCTTCTTCTTGTTCTGAAATGTTTCGGGGCATTTTGAAATAATTTGCCACGGATATTGAGAAGAAAAACTGGTTGTTAATTGTAACGGGGACATCGCCTCACTTTTGTGAAGTCTGGATAGTTCAGCATTTTAAGTGAGAGTAAAAATGAAGCCCAAGTTGTTTGTGTTTAACTCTAATGGAAACTAAACGCGTCTGCAATTATACATGAAAGTGCCGCGCTGCATGGATGCAGAATACAAGCACACGATGGCGTAACCAGAGGGAGGGGGAGGGGCATGGTCTGGCAACTGGACACCCCGCCTGAAGACAAGTTACCTTTTAAAAAGGAATTGAAAGTACTAGAATTTTAGAAACGGTACTGACAACTGATTTTTAAGGGGGTGGTGGGTTCTTAAACGTGTGAAAAAGGACAGCCTTTGGGGGAAGAAACTCTATTCCCCCCCCCCCGGGACCTGGATATACGCAATTTTTCGAAAGAACCCGGGGTTGTTCGTGGGTAGGCCTGTTATTCAGTGCACAGTAGAAATGGGTATCATTTTTGGAAAGCATGTCCGATGGAAGTATTGTTCAGGTGTCCTTGACAACAACCATGCTATGAGAGGAAATGTATACCGGTAGAGAAACACAGAGGCCGTGGGGTCGAGTTTGATAGACTAGTACAGTCATGTCATATTGCTGGGGTTAAAAGTAGTTGCCTGCAGACCCATCCTCATAAATGGTGTAAAACAGTACCATTGTCACGTTACTGAATGCTCAGATTATTTTGAAATGTCTTTCAAAGATATGTTGTTGTGCCTGTATTTTTTCAGCTGCGAAACAGACCTTACTGTCGGTGTCGTCATATAACCTTGGTCCAAGGCGTCACTGTCTCAAACTTGTCACGCAAATAAGGGTGAGCATCATTCAGAATATTTTGAACACCGTATAATGAACGGTAGTGAATTGAGGGAAGAATTGGTTGATTTAGGAATTAGTTCAAGTCATTTACATCACATGCGGCTGAAGCATTACATAAGAAACGATGTGTATGATGAAATCGATTCGGGTCCAAAACGACAATGAATCAGATAAAGATAAAGAATCATATACATGTACATCGTCCCAATCGTAAAATTGTTGATAAATTTCTCTTATGAAACAATTAAAATAAAACAAGCACAATTCCTATCATTTTTCCAGTAGATTAAGACTTTTCTTACAAGATCCCGGCTATTGCTTGTCTGTTTCTTTTTAGATGGAGCTTACGAGGCTGCTTGTCTTGTTATGGTCGATAACCAGTGCGAAAGTGCTGTCGGTCAACAGCACGGTAACCGTCGAGACAACCTCCTCAACATGCTGTCATTGCACTCATGGAGTTCCCGGGGTGCCGGGAATCCCTGCCGTACCTGCTCCTCGGGGACCGATGGGACCCAAAGGGGATCCTGGTACCCCAGGGGAGGCAGGCACGAAGGGGTCGAAGGGAGACATGGGCTCCGATGGCTCCCAAGGCGTGCCGGGAGAGCGAGGCGAGTCCGGGGTAGGAGTCGAAGGTCCACCAGGAGAGAGGGGGCTACCAGGACAGCGCGGTTTGAAAGGAGAAAGTGGCACACCAGGGCCTGCTGGACCGATGGGACCAAAGGGGGATGCCTGTGCAAGTATCCCTCAGGTAGCTTTCACCGTAGCGAGAGTTACCAGCTACAGTTCCTCGGGCGGTCACTTGACCTATGATCAAAATGTTTTTAACACAGGGGCGGATTTTGACCTGCCCACTGGAACTTTCACCTGCAGTGTGCCTGGCATCTACGTGTTTACGTTTTCTGTCTTGAAAGAACCGGTGGCAGCCGAAGTTTATGTGCACTTGTTCAAAAACACTGAACGCACCGTCACAGCTTTTGCCCGTAACTCCATGTACCATCAAATCAGCAGCAGTTCTGTGATGTCGTTGGTAGCCAATGACCAGGTTTACTTACAATTGTTTGGTCAGGTTCATGGCACCACTGCCAATTTCACCTCGTTCGCCGGGTTTCTGCTGTATCCAAATTAGAGAATGTTGTCTCACATTGCATATTTTACAGAATAGAAAAACGAAATGGCATGTGATCACAAGTAGCGTGGCCAAGGGGGTGCATAGTGGCAGAATGCAATGGAGTGGAGAAGTTAAGAGGAAACGTTTTTGAGCTCGTAGAAACAAAATCTTAATTAATGCATAATGAAGTCGTATGCTACTGTCGTTATTGACGAATTTTGCAACTTAACCAAAACCGAAGAAACTTTTACTTTCGAACAAGCGACCGGAATCTTTTAAAATGGCAAAGCATGCCGGATGACCACGTAGGCCTACCCCATGATTGTGCACGTAAACGACGATGCAGATAACAGCGATGCTAAGCCGTCAATGCACGTTTATAACCCAATTGTGTGATCGATTTGGAAGTGTAAGGAATAGATTGCAAATGACACAGATGTCATTACTGTAGCCCAAATTAAAATACAAGGGAACATGTTCAGTTTTATTTGTAAATCTGAAGAGTTCGCGGCAAGTTTTTACAAATTTGTATAGCCATTATATTTGGCATGAAATTAATTTAATGGTAGTGATCGATTAATTTTGGAAAGACCTTTTCATTGACCAGAAAAAACTCTTTTCCACTGTAGTTACATTTTTCCTAAAAGATGTTTCCCATTTTTGTGCACAAAAACTATTTCTGAAACGTATGTACACGGATATAACAACATGCAGTGATTACCCATGCATAGTCAAAAATGAACCGTTACTGAAATCCGAAAAGTCTCATTAAAACGTAAGTAGGCCTAATATAAAATACATTTGAAAAAGATACCAACATACTACATGTACTTTCATGAGAAATGGCAATTGAAATGAGCCTTGAAATGCTTAATCCTATCCCTCTTGTCCTATCGGGATCGTTATGGAAACCATACATGCCAAACGATGACGTTACAGTCCGTCCTCGGGGAGACTTTTTGATCCATCAATTATACTGCGTAAACATCATGCACTCTTCTGAAAGAGGTGTTGCCGGTTTTGGCATCAACTGAGGAGAATATTCTACAATGGGGGCTGTTTAGGTGCGGAACAAGGGTATTATACAGGAATTGCATTATGCAGGGGTGAATCTAGAAGAGAAATTTCCGATTGGAAAACTTGTACTAGGGGCTAAAACCTTTGAAGGTCTTTTTTGTGGAACTTTGTTTGGCCTTTCAGGGGGTGAAGCTATATTTAGGGGCATTTTACACAGTTTGTAAAGAAAGAAAAATAAAACAGCTTAATCCTGACAGGCCAATTGATACAAAAGCGTTGTCAGATTTGAGGATATAGTGGAACTTTTGTTGTGAATTTTCTTACTTTCGTGACAATTAAACTCACAAAGTAAGCACAGAAATTGATTTCAACCGATGACAAAATAGCAGTACCGGATGAATTTGAGTTTTTGTTAATAAATCTCCAATTTACTGGACCACTGTAGGGTATTTTGAGTGTGATTTCATGAGGCTTTTTCAATTTAACTTTGAAAACATATAAAATGCAAATGGTTTCAACCAATGGCAAATCCGTACTGGAGACTGGTCATGGGTGATGACTTAAATCAAAACATTGCCATTACTCAAAAAACTGTTGATTTATAATCAGTCTTGATTTAAACTTCTTATTTTGAGAAGTTTTCCTTCAAATTGAAAATGCATCTCTTGATTGTTGGTTTTTAAAAATAAAATATAAAAAGGAAAGAAAATGCCAATGATCAAACACACATTGATCTTATATTTATCAGACACACGACCCACGTCTGGAACGTTGAAATTGGTTTCCTTGTTTATTAACAACCAAGTGACAGTTTGATAAGTTTCAAATGCCTTTGTTTGTATTAGAGACTTACTCAGTTTCCACTGGTGAAAACAAAAAACTCGTTTAGTTTAATTTTTGAGATATGTTGTGTCAAGACGTTTTGTAACAACACAGAACCATGCCTGAGTACGCAGAATTTTGTTTTGGCCCTATCTCAAGAACGTTGCGAACGTAACAGATATCACCCCCATAAAAAATTACATTATCGTACTTCAACGTCTTTTGTGGTAATATACTTTTACGATAATCTGTTTCAGTTTCAAATCAACCCAAGTTTCAAACATTATCAACAACAGGTCAAGATATCCCTCCATGTTTCAAAAGTCGAACGCTTTTATTGAGGTTGAACTTTGATATTTGTAAGGGTATACTTTATACCAGGCCTCCTTACTTTAGTTTCAGTTTCGACTCTTCCAAAAACCCTTGAACAATCTGCAGTGTGTCTACCGAAACCTACAAGCTTTGTTTCCTTATGGATAAACTGATATTGTAACCCACCGACCAATGAGCCCAAATTGAGTTTAATATTTTTGTTTCTGTCAAAAGCTCCTGGGATTGGGCAAGTTAATTACGAGTTGACATCGCGAAAAATGTTGGATAAGCCTGATTGAAGAGATAGCTTATGGAGTTACATGTGCAAGGAAATCGTTATGCCCTCTTTCTAATTGTGTCTATTGTCCTTTTGCTTCAGGAGAAATTTTGTGAAGAGTAGAAAGTAGCCTAACGAAATTTGAAATTCGACATAAAATCGATGACTTTGGACTAATTACTTGCTGGGGCGAAGTTACTTTTGGGTTGCTTTTTGCGAAGCAACCATTATGCTCAGACGCATCACATGTTACAGTAGTATATCCAAACCACCATGGGCGTGGTGGTTGAAACCATTTATTAAATTGTTACTTTATGTGTCATCCCATTTACACTAACGTTTGATTAATATTTTGCTTTTAACTTGCTTACGATCCAATTGAGGATCGGACAACTTCGACTTTCTTAGCTATTTCACTTCGCGTATTTCTAGAAACATACAACACTTGAAGGATAATTTCCTGTTGTGAAATGTTGTTGTGTCACAGAGAATTTTCAACTGGTGAAAACAAGAATGTCACCGTTGTTCGATATTTCTCGTTCACACAATTTTACAGAAAATTAATTGTTATCAAACAAAAGTTATGCTAATTTTTTTGACCAGGAAGATGGCAATTTCGTTACGCTTCGTCCACCTTTTAGATGGTGGAATAGATACAGAAATTTGATGTTTTTTGTGTACACCACTAGCACTCAAAAACTCTGGAATAGCCCGTTATCCTCGTTTTGAATTTCAAAGGCAGGCATCTTCAGAACTTTGGCACATCTGCTGTCTCCCCCACGTTGGCTGAATAAACTTTGCACCAATGGTCCTCGCATTGCTTGGACGTAATAATAGTATGTGATCTAGCGTCGGGCTTTGGATGTTTTTTAAGTCCCTTAGTATAACTGCAATGAACCCAAGTGCTGCATATGCCACTGTCGAGTAAGATTAGGATTTAGTAAAGCCAAACAGATGGTTCCAGACTCTTCAATACGGGCGATTCACAAAAGTTCGCCTCCAAGAGTTTGCAACGCGTTGGCCATTCCTAATGCGCGAAATCTGTCTTATATCTTCCCATCTTGTCGTAACCTTCAAGTTTTCGGACTGGTGTGCGCGTGTGCGTACCACCAAAAGTGTGTGTGCGTTCACACAAAAAGACTGCTGTACCCAAATCATTGTTTCGGTCGGTCATCTCCAAATGGGCTGCACGCGAGTACCATAGCGTCACATTAAGAACACGGGGTTAATGATAAACTACGATAGACCTCCAGGGATAGACCTCCCTTTCGTTTCTAAAATAGTGACACGCTGGGGCCATTTTGTATGGGCTTACATTTCAATTTGATGTTTCCCTTTCATTACAGATGCCAACGCTGGGTTCAAAACACCCTCAGGGAGGATCTTCTGAAGAGAGCCTCGTGGTGTCTCTATGCAAACTACCGCCTGTTTTCCAATAATTTTGAACCCAGTCAGTTCACCAATCACCACCAAAACAGGCTGAAATGGAATGCAGTGCCCACATTGTTTGATGTCCCAAACCCACCAAAACTTGTGACACCTCAACGACAAAAACGAGAATACAAAAGGAAGCTTGAGCCAGATGGGACATCACAAAGACCACTGAAACTGGCCAAAAGTAGGACCGCCAAAGAAAAAATATATATACAGATATACATAGTATATACATAATATGTGATATTAGTTATATATCACATATACAATTAAAATTGCCTATCAGTCTTTGTACATTCAAGTTTTTATACCCAGTTCATCAGTGACTTTGTCATCGCATGAACCCATTACACATTACACGTGCCCATTGGCTGAATGCTGAAATTGCGAGTTAAAGTTGATGCACAACCTGAGAGTTAAGTCAATGCATGATTATTTTATACATACTCTACATATACATGTATATGTATTCTTGGACTTAAATGTGGTTACATATTAATATTTCAACCCACATGAGAGTTCAGCCAATGCATACTTGATTTGTATATATATTTGTGTATATATTCTTTGACTGAAAAAAATACAGTTGCATATTAATATTTAGGTTCACACTTAATTTCTGTAGAACACGATCACACATATGCCAAGCCACATATGGTAGATGGCCCCTCAACCGAAGATAGCAGACATCATAGAAAAACCAAGAAAGCTCTACTCAAGGAACGAGTCAAAACATCTCGACTGAGGCCTGAAGCAGAAAGTGCATTGCCTTCAGAACATCCTATCACACATTACCACTCCAGCTGAGAGTATAAGTGACCTCATTAAAGGTGCTACTCAGTACATGGATGAACCAGCTTTGTCTTTCTTTGCTTCTCAAATACGTTACTCATCTTGGCGTGTAAAAGTTAGAGGTAGTAGGAGATGGTGTTATGCAGACAAAGTAATTGCCTCTCTTTGCCATCAAGGCCCCAGAGCTTACTGGTTTTGCAGTCGATTGCTCACTCTGCCCTCTGTTTCATCACTTCGAAAATGGCTCCAAAATGTTGAAATTCAACCTGGATTTTCAGACAGGGTTTTGAATGTTATGGAACACAAAGTCACTGCAATGAAAAACCGTGACAGATTTTGTGTTGTAACATTTGATGAAATGAGTTTGAGTACTGGATTAACATATGACATTTCCTCTGACAGGGTTGAGGGGTTTGAGGATTTTGGAAGCCTTGGGAGGACAACACAAGTTGCTAACCATGCTCTTGTTTTCATAGTGAGAGGTATGTTCTCACGCTGGAAGCAGCCTGTTGGATACTTTATCTCCAGAGGTGCTACACCTGCAGACAAACTATCACATCTCCTGTTACCCAGCCAGTTCTTGATACCATCCAGCAGAACAATTTAGCATACATAGCTGGTTATCTGTGTCGTGAATGCCTGATGAGTCACATTGTTCCCTTTCAGTGTGCACAGTGCAAATTGGCTTTGTTGCACCTGAAGCAATTTTACATGATCCATCCCTCCTGTATAAACACAACAAAGCATGGGATACTACAAAATGTGATTTTGGATCACTTATGGTGCCGTCACATTCATTTGTTGACTTCTGCACTCTCTGTGAACAGGTCTTCAGAGCAGAATTTAACGACATTGGTATGACCAGAAACAGGATCTTCTACAGAATAACCACTGCAATATGCCAGCAGACTAACTACAGCAATCTGAATGTGTGCACTAACAATGTCTATGCACGCATTGTAGCAAGATTTGTTAGCATGTGAATACATATGCCCTCAAATTTAAATGCAGAGAATTGAAAGAACTCAATCAAACGGGTGAACAGAAAAGCAAAGAAGGTTACTCGCAAATAAAAGCATGCATCACAGGCCTATTTTGGAGGAATGGTAATACTTTGCATGAATTATCCTGTGGCTTCCTTTCTAAACAGATCTGACAACACGGGTTATCTTAGTGCTTATGAAGTTAACGTTAGAACTTTTTTGCCCTAAGTTTCCTCTGTAATACCTTATTAGCCTTACACAAAAGTCAACATTAGCAATACAAATACTGAGTCATTTAGGTTGATTGTGTACATGTGTGAACAATTGTGACCTGTTTTAGAAAAATGTGTAATAAGTTGCCAGATTCGGGTTATGAGTTTTTATTTTGACTGGATTGTGTACATCAAAAGCTGCAATTTGATAAATGAATAACCCCTGTAGAAGATATAAAGACATTTGTATGTCCACATTTTTGGATTCAATAAAAGCACTTTTCAAGAAAAAGTTAAGAAAGTGTAGCACTTGGAAACACAATGCTTTATAGGATTTCTTTCTGAATGATCAATTTTTCATCTTTATTCGTCAGTATCCATGTTCGTAGTCACAAATTCTGAAATATAAAAGTTATAAAAGCTATTAGGCCTAAAAGAAAAAATCTCGTTTTTGAAGAAATTTTGCCCTCTCCAAATAGAACAGGCCACAACATGTTTTGGCATTTCGCGACTTATTACCCTTTTTTGCACAGCGGGTCACAATTACTCCTAACAGCATAAGGGTAAAAGAAACTTGAAATTATCACTGGAAGTCTTATTTTGGTTGGGGGAGAAATGGATAATTTTTGTGGCCTTATACTGCACAGTACAAACACTGTACATGTTCAGTGTACATGTTCGTGTGTGTTCAGTTTATATATGACAATTGTTGCAGCTTTTTCCCTGGCACATTCTTAAAACAATTTCAAACCTTTGTGTTACATTCCATTGGCTGTTTGCGGTGGCTATGCTCATTTCTTTGATTTTTAACATGGTATCCGTCGGTGTATATACATTACAAAATTGTTGCGGCTTTTTTCCACATACATTTTCTTTGCATCATATATTACTATATTTTGCCCTAATGGAAGATATGGTGATATATGTTTATTTCTGCAATTTTAAAAATTGTACATGTGGACTACAAGGTTTAGGGCCTTTTCTTTTACATTATAAAAACATGGTATCTGTCGGTGCTACATGTATATTACAATTGTTGCAGCCTTTTTCCTTGACACAGTTTTAAAACAGCTTTGCCTCTGCATAGTACATCTAATATTTTGCCCTATTGCCAGCTGCGTCTACACATGTTTGTTTTGTAATTTTTAAAACGCAGTATATCTCAACTCTATGTAACACATTCATTTTTCATGGTAAGTAATTTTTACAATCCAGTGTATATACATTACAACTGTTGCGGCTTTTTCCTGACACAAAAACCTCTGCATTTCATGTTAACTGTATACATATACATTATTTATATTTTAATGGCAGCTGTGGCTTGTCAACTTCCAGTTTACAAGTCACGTACACGGCACACACAAGATTTTCCCCCAACCATTAATTTTTCCCCTACTCTGTATAATATTTAGGTGAATACTTAGTGCTAATGGAAGTTGGTTGTTGGCCAAGTAATGTTACTGTGACAAATTTAAATTCTAGTGTACTGCATTTTTTATATTAGGCCTAGGTCATTTACATATTCATGTGTGCGGCGCTATACAATCTTTGGTTTGAACGCAAATCAGTGTTTCAAGTGTTTCCCACAAAACTAGTGCATAAATATTTGAAAAGAATTATTTTATCCACACCCATGTTTAAGTAATCCATTTGATAACATTCTGAAGTCGCGGTGTGTAAAGAACTTGAAACAGTAGGTGGCATACTAGTATTGCCAAAGATCGTACAGCGCCGCTATATAATCTTTGGTATTGCCACGGACATGCAAGTCAAGCCATGAAAAATGTAGCCCTGGAAAAAACTGACCAATAGGAGAGCTCGTTTCGGCGTCGAGGCTTCCTCTTGTAAACAACAGCAAACGAGAATTAAAGCCGGTGTCTGTCGACTGACCTTCTTGCAGTTGTAAGTTTAAATAATATTTTGATGTGTTACACTTTTTACATGTATCTTTGAATGGAAACTGTCCTTGCAACTGTTAGATTTCCTATAATTGGGAGAAATGTGAATCTCCAACTTGTTTGAAATGAAAATGCCTTCGGTCTGACGTTAACGTAGTGCTGCTGTGCTTGCGCCTGTCGTCTGCCACTGCCCAGCTGTTTATACAGCGTAGTATTACGAGCTATAGTCGTGTATTTCCGACACAATGCCACGAACGATCGCATTTATCACCTTCTAATTTAACGCCATCCTATCTCTTTTCCCAGGAATGTTTTCCTCACGGGTTATGCCTAAGCTTACTCGATGAAGAGTTTCAATTCAATGGTCGAACATGTCGAATAGCGTGACTAGGCCGGGGCCTAATTTTATGAATTTAGGTTAGGCCTACTACGGCCAAGGCGAAAAGTGTTCTTCAGTCATGTCAGTACGTACATTAGCAACAGATTGACTGAATCCACTAGCCACGGGAGTTACATGTACCTATACATGTACAATGTACATGTATGAAAGCCAGTAATTGTCCCTACAGTGACCTAAAGCAAAAACATGTCCAGAAAAGTTTAATTTAGGAGGGAAAATACATGTACCTTGTCGTTTTATTAGAAAACACTTGAACTGTTTACACAAGTCTCAAACATGTCAAAGCGGAAAGGGTTTATGCACGCAGTGTCAATGGTCGAGTGCGAGTAGCGGCTGTATATTCTCGAGGTCGGAGGTTGTTCCATTTATTGCACTCACGTCTGGGCAAAGGGACAACTCTCCATTCACTTTGTACAGGGATTTGCATGTTTTCCTTTTTTTGGCAGCAATGTGATATAAATAGCTTAAACCTTTTCAGTACAGTGTGGAAAATGTTTATAATGCCCCTTTTTTCTTCCCACAATGCCATTCAACCATTGTGCAAAATCACCCATGCAGTATTTGCAATAAGGTTTATAGAGCATAAATAGTGATATTTCAGGCACATTTGATGTACATTTACATGTAAAGGTTAAGAGAGTGAGTCAATAATTCAGATTTTCCCCATAGACTGCTACACTATTTTTGCCCCTTTGAGTTTTAAATGTGAAAGATGGAATAGTCGTCAAATGACCAATCAGAGAGAAAAACCAAGAATCAGTGACGTCTTCCTGAACTCAAGAATGGAACTCTTTACATCAAACATTGCGAAAAGTTACAATGTATTTTTACATTGTCTTGGCCCGAGACAGCATTTGAACTGCATTCATTTTCTGTACAGTACCTAGCAGTGATGGTTAACATGGTGAATACTCTTGCAACCAAACAACACACTGACTACACTGATGAGAGGAATCAAATCCGGTCTTGGCAACTCCAGCATGCTTCCTGAAACACTCTGAGCATATTATTACAAAACTTGTGCACATTGTACAGCACTGTGTTGTGTTCATGATTCTACTTCCCTGTATTATGAATCTAACATGAATCTAACCAAGCCATGTTAAAGGTTGGCACAAAATTCTGGACCTGGATTTTCTAAGACAAGATTTGATTCAGCTTTTTGATAGCGCCCTGTGTCGGTCGCACGGCTTGGTAGCACAGACCTGGTGTTTGTGCACGCCTCAGGAAAACACTGTCCAACTCCAGTCTTGGCTTAACACTACACTTTTAATGTAAATTTCAGTTAATTTAGAAAACAAAGTCAAATAGCGTACCCAGTGAGAATTTGAACTTTGAAAGGTGCTGCTTCGGCTAACTGGATGATGCATGGGCTACAAAATTTCATGCAGGTGCCAAACATACACACTTGGCTTTGTCCTGCTCTCAGCTCAATCATGTCTTCTTAACAGGGACCATCACACTCTCTGGAGATCAACCCTCCGGAGAGAGACACAGTGCATGCAACAATGCGCTTGGAGGACCTTGATGGGGATTATGATGATGCTCAATTTGGCCAGTACGAGAAAAAGATTGACAGCCTCATGACAGTGACGTCTTCCTGAACTCAAGAATGGAACTGTTTACATCAAACATTGCGAAAAGGCCCATGATCATCTTCATTTATGTTTCCAGTTTTTATATTTGCCCAGTCATTTGTAGTTCTACATGTACATGTAGGCTAACTTTGACTCTACAAATCACCTTGTTTAATATTTGGGCTCTTTCCAAAGGCTCAAAAAGGCAGTTTGTAGAATTCAAATTGCCTTTTTTGATATTTGGACCTGAAATGTCCAAATGTTTTAAAAGCTGGTTTGCAGAGTCCAAGTGTCCTAGTCCTAGTGAGTGTTTCTGTAACTGGTTTCTTTGTTCAGGTATTTCCCTGAAGATTGGCGCCGAGGATGACTGTCGACAAGGGGCGTGGCCCCGCCTCCCCTCCTCTCCATGTTCACGTGGATGAAGTCACACCAGTTCACGTTCACATCAAGAAAGGGGCTAAGAAATCAGCCACAGCAAGGGCAGTTGAGGTACATCTAACATTTGCTGTCCATTCTCAATATAATGACAATTTGGATGATACTGATATGCGGCATCTTGCTTGTAAAGATGAATTAAAAAAATTGACTGGAATGAGATTTGACCCTGGGACCTCATTACATGCACCTGCACTCTGTCAACTGAAATACCCAGCCCTATTTTCAGTCTGGAGTATTTCCATATTTGGACGACCCATTACATCACAAATCTCACACAATCTGACCAATCACAAGGCTTGTTCTAGCAGCCTGAAGTGGATTATATCCGTGTTTCCACGTTATATGGTGCTTTTCTTAAATGTTGCAGCATATGGAACAAAAACACTAACAAAAAATCTCAACTGCAAAAATTGGATTGGCTGTGCAAAAAAATCCTGACCACAGACATAAACTTGAAGTTCTAAAACACACTTGTACCGATGGGATTGAAAATTCGTCATTGCCAACTTGAGATATTTGAAGTTGAATTTGGGCAACTATTTCTGTATCAGTAGGGAAAGGTCAGTATGCCCGTTTATCTAACACTCTAGACTGATGTTGGTAGCTCCACTCATTTGTCAGCATATTTGTTCAGGGGACTCAAATCAGAAGCCATTAGATCTACATGTAAAACACTTTATGGCTTCTGATGAGCTCCGTGAGTGATGATGTCGACAAATTGGAAGAAGGCACCATCAGATTTTCCAACTGTGCCCAAGTTGCAGGATTTGATGCCTCAAACAGTGTGCAGAAACTGGTTGAACAATGTTCTGTATAGTTTCATAGAGCTAGTCATTCTTATCACCCGTTGCTTCATTTTCATGACATCACCAATTTTTTTTATAGACATGGAGGTACCTTTGCATATACATGTATGCACCTTTCTTTTTAAAATTTTTGTAGAGTAAACTGTAAAAAAGTCTCGTGCTATTTTGTCTGTCAATCACAACTGTTTCCAGGAAAAATTGAAGGACAGCAAGGCTCGATCGAGCCGAAGCTTTGGCATGGGAAATGTCAGACCAACCACCTCCTCCAAAGAACCCTGGGTCCCAGCTCCCGGGAAATCAACCAAAGGAAAGAAATTTTCATGGCAGGTGAGCGCCATCTAAGTGAGGTGACCTTTCGTGTGTTTCAAAGCACACAATGTGGTACTGATGAGGTGCAGTTTGTCTGAGGATGGGGCACGGTGTAGGGGATTCACATAACACATGTCATCTGAAAGAGTTACAATGTATTTTTACATTGTCTTGGCCTGAGACAGCATTTGAACTGCATTCATTTACTGTACAGTACCCAGCAGTGATGGTTAACATGGTGGATACTCTTGCTACCAAACAACACACTGACTGCACTGATAAGAGGAATCAAATCCGGTCTTGGCAACTCCAGCATGCTTCCTGAAACACTCTGAGCATATTATTACAAAACTTGTGCACATTGTACAGGCACTGTGTTGTGTTCATGATTCTACTTCCCTGTATTATGAATCTAACATGAATCTAACCAAGCCATGTTAAAGGTTGGCACAAAATTCTGGACCTGGATTTTCTAAGACAAGATTTGATTCAGCTTTTTGATAACGCCCTCTGTCGGTCACACGGCTTGGTAGCACAGGCTTGGTAGCACAGACCTGGTGTTTGTGCATGCCTCAGGAAAACACTGTCCAACTCCAGTCTTGGCTTAGCACTACACTTTTTATGTAAATTTCAGGTAATTTAGAAAACAAAGTCAAATAGCCTACCCAGTGAGAATTTGAACTTTGAAAGGTGCTGCTTCAGCTAACTGGATGATGCATGGGCTACATAATTTCATGCAGGTGCCAAACATACAAACTTGGCTTTCCCGCTCTCAGCTCAATCATGTCTTCTTAACAGGGACCATCACACTCTCTGGAGATCAACCCTCCGGAGAGAGACACAGTGCATGCAACAATGCGCTTGGAGGACCTTGATGGGGATTATGATGATGCTCGATTCGGCCAGTACGAGAAAAAGATTGACAGCCTCATGACAGAAGTAGGCACCCTCAAGACAGAGGTATTTTTACATCATGAACGGGCTGATTGTCATTTGATCTCTAACAAACATTTGTAGTCAATTTGTGCTCCAAACTCTAACTGAAGTGTGTAATTTTTTTTCAGTGGGAGACTTGTGAGATACTTGATGGTGGTAAACATATTGATCCCACGCGATCACAATCAGTCTGTTATTGTTTGTATTATTTTGGGCATGCGCTCGTGAGCTCAAGTGTGATGCAAACAATAGTAAGTTGCCTTCAGGATGTCAAGGTGGTACAGTGAACTGGTCACCTGAGCCCAGTGTGTTTGCCCCCACCAAGCATCTTAAAGTCTCCCACTGTATGCCACTGAAGCAACTTTTTACTTCCAATTGTAGGTACTGGATGTCGGTTTGGAGTCACAAAATGCTAACCTTGGCTGCCATGCTTTTCAGTGATGAAAGATGTCTGTTTTTAAGGGTATACAGTGGATTATCGCTATACCGAACACCCCCATACTCAACATTCGGCTGTACCGAACATCGTCCTTGGCTCCCAATATTTTGTGCACAAAACCTACCGAACATTATGCATTTGCAAATCAACTGAGATTCACCACAGCATGCACCAGAGATCAATCCTGATCGGTAGCTTCACGACTTTTAGGATAAACTACATATCAATTTTGTAATTCAGGATTTAAAAAAACAAAAAATAATTAACAGATACATTTCTACAAAAACAGCGAATCATAGTACAAGAGGGTGTACTTCATTTAGACAAGAGAGGGTGCTATTCAACATGGCCACCAAACGTTTGGCAGTTAATTTTGCTATACCAAATGACCGCTGTTCCAAACATTTAGCATGGACCCCGTCGTGTTCATTATAGCGGGGTTCCACTGTACTCGTAGTGACAGGTGTACTGGATTCCGCCACTGCAAGTATACACACAGGAAATGAAAGGCTATTGTAATGTAAATTGAATACACTGGCATCATTGACGAACACAACTGTTACACCACTGGCAGTGTGGTGGACATGAAAATGCTCATGTTCAGGTAGACACCTGAAAAGTACCTCTTAAGTATGCGTGCATGCGTGCAGTGTTTGGCAAAGGGAAAACACCCTGTGAAATTATGCGTGGCAGTCAATGTGTTAAACAGTTCTCGCTGCATATTTTATAGATATGATGAGACACTTTACATGAATAGTATACTATTCTTGCCAGCTTCACAGCGCAGTTGCTTGGTTTTGATATACATGCATCTGTTTAGTCAGTGTCTAGATTGATCTTACTTTTTCGAGGTTACATGTACATTGTATGTGTAAGCCATAATTACAGACATTGTGAAGAGTTGTGCCCCTTTCCCAGATGTAATTTCGTCTCTGCCAACAGAGGGAACTTGAGCGCACTAAACGCATGGCAGAGAGAGCCAAGGAAGAACTGGATATCTCCAAACGTCTCCTGGAGAACCAGGAAGAAGAGATCACCGACTACAAGGAGGAGCTGGAGATGACGGAACGTGAAAATGAGCAGCTACGACGCTCTGTGGACATGCTCAGGAATGACACTGACTTGACAAGGTACAAGCACACACCGCCGCCTGTTGACCCCATAAAATCCTCCCCTGAGAATCCACCAGAAGGTTCCTGAAGGAATTTCAAAGGACTTTGTAGGATTGAGGAGGGTAGAACCCAGATACCATTACGTTATGTTCTCTGATGCCTCTTAAACTTCAAATCACATTAAGTGATTTGATAAAGTGTGGCTGAGTTCTACTTTCTCAGTTCTTCAGAACTTCCAATCCTGATGGATTTTGTTTCTAGCAGAGCAAGGATTACATGTAGATTACTCTTTCACATGCCAAATTAGCCTTTTGCTAACTTCGAGTAAATCTTAAATAAAATCTGATACACTGAGTTCTATAGCTATCCCTATTACAGTCCGAAATCCTCTGATTTCAATATGATTTTACATACACCCTTAGGGTTAGGGGTTAAATTTATGTGAACATAACAATATGAATCCTCTACACTAACAGACTAAAGATGCTATTGCTGTGCTTCACGATTCGGGCAAGCTTTTACTTGGTCACATACAGGTGAGAGATGCCCTGCACAAGTGCACTGTTTTCAATTTTTAAGAGGGGCACAAAGGAACCAGTCCATTCCAGAGATGGTGGTCGCTATTCAAAAGCTTGACCCAAATAACAAGGTATTGCAATAGCGTATTTAGTCTGGGGAATTCAAATTGTTATGTTTACAATGTATGTGCAATCAGATGTACATGTACATGTAATTCAGTGTCCCAGATTTTATTCAAATTTAACCCGCAAAAGGCTATTGTGACTGCATAACCGCTTAATTCAAACCTTCACCCAAGTTAGTGCAGGTACATGTATATCAAAAGCTGCGGCGCGTTATGAATATCAGTGGACTGTCACAAACTGACGATGCTTTGGTCAAGATTTTAGAAACTTGCATCGTATGCTATACAGTACAAAATCCTTTCCTAAATTTTCTTAAATTTGCTTCAATGAATAAATTGTTCTTCGATAATAACCGTGGCGATATTTTTTCATTGAAACATTGAAAATGATGGAGACAATCATTAATGGATACGTGTAAATGCATGCATATTGTATATTTGCCTAGAATATATACCACATTGCCATAGTAACTTGAGTTGAAGTTTGGAGTTTTTTTGGATATTTTTTTTCCAGTGTCAGAATTGTCAAAATGAGGTGAAATGTTGATTTTTTTTTCTTTGTAGGGCTGAGAAAGCTGTTGTCAAATCAGAGCGTGAGAGACTCCTTAAGAAGCTGGTGGAAGTGGAGTTGGATGCTGGGGCTGCCTCAAAGCAAGTCACTCAACTCAGGGATGCAGTGAACAAACTGAGGGAGGTAATTACATGTATGAAGACTGTTTGACTGGAGGGTGAATTGTTCAGCACCAAGTTTGGCTTTATAGCATGGGAATGCTCTGCTTGATTGAAGTCAGTTTTCCAGCCAAAACGCCATACCGTGTGTATTGCATCCAACTACAGTAAAATCTCAGTAACTCAAATCGGTTAAGGTAAACACCACTAATATCAAAGACAGTAATTTATTCCCACGGTAGTAGATTTTAGCTCCCTCAGTTTTGGAAGTTGAAGTCTCATGGATGTAATCTCAACTATGCACCCAAAATAAACCATGTTATCTCTGTTTAATATTCCAGTGACCCTCAACCAGACAATATTATGTCTAAGTGATATGTACTTCTCATAATTTCAAGTGAATTCAAGAATGAGTTTGGCTGCCTTGTTGATTATTGGTAGCACAGCATTCAGCTGATGGCTTGAATTCTTTTGCTGCTATGCAGAGACCCTATAGATTTGTGCACATTCAAATGAAGGTTGTCACATGAGAATTACACCATGCCACATGCCTGTCATTATGAGTGCATCTATCATGTTTATGCACAGGGACGTGCCCCTTAATGTGAAGGGAAAAGCAGTTCTCTATTTCAGAAGTGCACTTTTAAATTCTTCCAACTTCTGTGCAGGAAAAGCGGATCTCTTCTCATGACAGCAAGATCTTGACCAAGCAGCGAGAGCTACTTCTTCAGAAGCTTGAGGACTTTGAGAGAACCAACGCAACACTGAGACAGATGCTACGGGACCAGCACAAATCAGAGGTACATGTATGGCGGCTGGGAGTGTACTTTTTGACATAGTTTTCTTTCTTTAAAAGAAAGTACAACATAAGAATCACTAGCAGGCACCTACACATATATGTCCCATGAATTATGTGTAACAGACAATGAGAACTTGCATATCAACATTAGGAGAAACTCTTAATTGCTTGCTTGGGTAAAGCCGGGTGTATTACCTTAATACTGTGAGGAACATTTGGTTATTGGTGTGTGAACTTTTTGTGTATTCCATTTAGGCAAGGCGTGAACGAAGCGAGGAACAGCGCGACGTCCTCCTGCGCAAGCTCACCCAGTCAGATGCCGACAACCAACGCCTGCGTGTCCTGGCCGTGGAGAAAGATGAGGAGATCGGCACGCTGCGGGACACGCTGGCCTCGGAGCGGGAGCAACTGCGCTCGGTAACAGATCTGCAGGCCTCGGTGGCCGCCACCCGGGGCCACCTGCAGAACCAGCTGCGCAAGCGGGAGGCCGACTGCAACCGGATGGCAGTGCAACTGCGGCAGGCAGAGAACCGGGCAGAGCAGCAGCAGATCGAGGTGGACCACGTCCAGGGGCTGCTAGCGGCTGCCAAGGAGAAGGCAGCCGCCGACAAGGAGGCCCTCAAGAGAGCCACCAGGTGAGTTCCATCCTGATGGGCATATGACTTCTCTGCGGATCAGTATACTTCCACATTTTTTGAAAATCTGGCCAATTAAAAAAAAAAATCATAGAGAAAAATTCTAAATGCTCTTCAAGTTTGTTATCCTGGGTGTGCTTTCTGTAGAATCTTGACCTAATACCGAGAGCTTGTACTTTTAAAGGAAAAACCATAATAAAGCCATAACATGTGAGGGCAGGTTCGGGACCAACCTATAGTTTTGTCATTAGTCTGGTGCCTTTTAACAATGTGCACGCATGTTACAGTCACACTCAAGCAGCCGTAGTTGAACTATTTTTCATTGTCAGTCATATTATCCCATTGGCTGCATCTACGGCAATGGTCATGGTCAGTGGCAAATCAATCAACCTAATCGGTTACTGGTAACTAGTAAAATGGTCCACTAAATGGTCCAAACCATCCATCCTCCAGCGACTTTGTTGAACTGTACACGTAGTTATGTGTAGCCATCGCTTGCCGCTAGCTGTTGTGTATGTGCATTTCACCTGTGCCCTCTATCCACAGTATTCCAGGCCTTCAGTCTGGTTCCGTAGCATGTACAAACACATCAGGATACAAACACTGAGCTGAACATACATGTATGGGACTTTTAAGAAAATGCTTGGGTTTATCACAGCGCACAAAAACCATTAGCAATAGAAATGAATTTTTGCATACGTACAACTGTCACAGTTGCATGTGCCTGTTATCTGTAAGCTGAGTCCACAAGGGTTATGAAGCATTTTGTACAGTATCATAGACACCATAGACAACATAGACTCCAGTATTACTTATGTACAGGGCTGGATGTTGAGTTTGTTGAAGACTGTACTATTGTTTACTACACAATGATGGCTTTCAAATTGAGGACACGTTCAGCCATCTCAAACTTACATGTACCACATGATTTGGGGGTTAATAATCATTTGATAAAAAACTTTTCACCAAAATTAACGTACCGTTGTTCATTGCTTTCTCGACATGTACCCTAGAGTTCAGAAAGATCGTGCGACACGCAGTGAGGATGCTGTGGAGAGGCTAAACATGCAGCTGCTGGAGTCGGAGACTAAGCTAGCAGACTCGGCCATGGCCAGCGATCAGTGGAAGGCCCGCGTAGAGAAACTCACCCGGGAGAAAGTGCAGCAGGAGACTGAGAATGCGGTACTCTCACGGTATGGGCAGAGAAGAGCTTATTCATGTATTACTGCCATTGCCAGTATTCCATCAGCTTTGATTGATGTCAGCACACGTTACTGTTAACGAATCTAAGACGCCAGCAGTCTTTCCTAAAACATTGTAAAAAGTCACTGGCCAAAAATGATAATGATTGGGATACGATTCATGCTTCAGCAAACCTGTGGATTTTTCAAGTGGACAGGATAAACAGTGCTGTTACAAGTGATTCACAAAACGTTCTTTCATGAAGCATTTACTGCGTCCAAGAGGCCACTTCAGAAAGTTTTATTCATGCCCAACATCTTGCAAATACTTTCTAGGCCTATACTTTAATTTTTCTGTTTTTATTGTATAGATGTACATTATCTTACAAATACTCAGATAAACTGTTATGTAATATTTGCCCAGGCCACCACACGTTCCCCAGTGATGGATCTTGTTTCATTCCTAGCAGCTGGATTGGCCATTTGTAGTGAACAGATTTATCTAGTGGCTTTGGAAGGCGAGCTTACCATGGGTTTATTTATTGTGAGCTGTAATCCAAGGGACTGTTTGGATTTAAATCATGTCCATGTCTGCTTGTTGCTTCTTTTAAGAATATCAACAAATTTACTGTGCCCATGCAGATCTTTGATCTATGTTACGTAATCACTTCACTGGTACATGTACTTGCAAATGCTTTTGGAACCTCAAAAATTCACTGATCATAATTTTGCATACATGTAGAACACAAAACTGAGTTCTCACTCATTAGGAATTTTAGTAGGTTATTTCTGAATCTGAATCATATAGTTGGCAAAGCCTGCATCAGAAAACATCACACCAACTTGAGTGTGAGTTCGGGGCATGGAGCTAGACGTGTTTCTGGTAACTTATTTACAAGCAATAAACAATTTGAAAAGTTCACTAAAGGTTGCATGTAATGTTTTCGCAGATTCAACAATATTACATATAGATGGGAAATTATTCCAATCCTTGATTGTCCGTCGAAAGAAGCTGGCTCTTGCATAGAATTGGTTTAATTTATACTCGTGTCCCTGAGATGATCACGTGTTTGAAGTGACAAAAGCCTCTGCTGGTGCATCGACATTGCCATTCAGAATCTTATTGAGCATGACTAGTCAACTGATTTTTCTTTGTTGCTCTAGGGTAAGCCATCTGTGATCTGATTTTTAGCAAGATACATGTACATGTATATGTTGGCAATGTTTTTCATTGTGCATTGTAAAATGGGCCTGGTCATGATGAATTGTTGGTAGAATACTGTGTCGTGAATCTGCTTGATGTTGTTGAGGGAATTTTTTTTTTATTTGCAACACCTTATGCATTTATTTCATATCTCTGTCAAATGTGGAAAGAGTGGCTATATCGTTTATTAGTCCGTGGTTTTCTATGTGTTGTCTGTGCAGGATGGGTAATTATTTCCATGTCAATTATATATAACGGG